TAGTGATATAATAGGAATATAATAGAGGTAGAAAGGTGAAATACTGGGATGCTAACCAATGATGCGTGATTTTTTGTGATACCCTCTACAGGTGACCGGTCATGTCTTCTGTCTTCTCTACAAGGGCGTGGCCTAGAAATTGAGGAGTTTCCTTTTCGTAAACCAACATAGCGAACTGGAACATCATCATTGTTTAATATGTTTTCATAGGTCAATCATCTATAAATGGGCCATTTCCCATATGTTAGTTTACTTGAGGGTACATCTGAGTTCGGTTTTGAAGATGTTACCAGACAAAGCCAAGTGCACGAACAGATCCATCACATTCCATCACATTCCATCACATTCCAACACATTCCATCAGGCTTTCCGGGGATGTTAAAAAAAAATCGTTGGATTCCCCAGCTATATAAAAATGGTGTTGTAAAAGATCCTAACTGGAGATCCATCACTAAAACATGGTGTTTCCATATGTTCTTTTCAACATTTGTCGATGGTTCAAGCCGCGAAGCCGCGAAGCGTCCAGAACCCAAAAAGTTGCGTTGCACCCGGATGATCCCTGGTAGAAACTATGAAAGTCAGCATATGAAAATAGCATCCAGGCATTTAACATATGGAAAAACCATTATAAATGGAGGTTTCTAGATGGGAAAATCATCTGTTTCTATGGGCCATTTTCCAGTTCGCTATGTTAGTCATAACCAGAGGGTAATTTGACTAGAACCAGCATATGAAGGCGGTTTGGTTGGGATCTTTGTAGGTCTCCAGATTCAAGTGAAGCATCCCAGCATTTTGTTGTTCATTATGGTTACACGGCATGCCCAGTCATCACGAAACCTCAGGTTAGCAACCTTGTAACCTTCCAGAATATCCTCCCCTCATTTTTGATGTATTTACAAATCCCCCCTTGTTGATTGTCATGCTGCCACAAAGCATGGTATACACCTGCTATAAACACCTGGCAATTTAACCTGGCTATTGCACATTGCCCGTTTAGAGTTGATTGACCTATGAGAAATTGTAACTTTCCATACTTTCCATAGCTATATTTGTTTACCAGAGGGTATACACCTGCTATAAACTATATGTCTTTTTCCTGGCACATGGAAGCCGACCCAACACATGGATGTGGCGCGCGGCTGTGGGATGTGTTCTTCGTTTTGCCTTCGTGATTGCCAATGAGATCGATGTCTGTGACTTGCTGAAAACAGGGGAAGATGATGGAAGATGTGACCAGCAATTCTTTGGATTTCATTGGAACATCAATGGCCATTTCAGGAACCGATTTATTGGAGGTACCTACCATATATAAGGCCTATTTTTCAGGCCTACGTAAGGGAATATCCCCAACAAAATATGGCCAGAAATGCGGTACTAACGTACCTCCATTTTACGATCCTGAAATTCCCATTGAGAACATGTATGGAACATCCTATGTCTATCTATGTCTTACATGTGATGTTCTCTATATAGATGAAATGACAGAAATATGTCAGGTAGAATGTAAAATGAAATGTCGGAAGATGTGTGGGATAAAATTCACCTAGACTGTCAGAATATATGTGTGAGATCAAATGCCAGATAAATGACAGAAATTATGTCGGATAAGATGTCAGATGAAATGTCAGAAAATATGACAAGTAGAATGTCAGAATTCAGAATATATGCCAGGACAATTGCCACAGTGAGGATCACGATGTAAAGCCCTCTATGGTAGCCCTCTATGGTTGAAGCCTGAGTTTCACAAAATGTTTATCTAGATCAAGTGGTGATGAAGTACAAACCCATATGATTTTTCCAGAATTAGATACTCAATGGGAATTTCAGGATCCTAAAATGGAGGTACTGTACCATATAAGGCCATATTTTGTGGGGATATCCCCTTACATAGGCCTTATATATGGTAGGTACCTCCAATAAATCGGTTCCTGAAATGACCACTGAAATACAGGGTGGTGCCCCAGTGAGCTAAATCGCTAAGTTGTTGCCAATAAGTCCAACAACCATGGTTTTTGTTGGTGATCTATCGAACTAGTACCCATGTCCCATATGCTCCATGTATAGTATAATTAACTACACTTGGGTGATATTTAAGGTAAATGTTGGTAAATATTCCATACATGGAGCATTTGGGTTTATAACTGGGTGGGGGGAACCGCCTTGTAAGAATGGAAATTGCCGACTCCTGGAAGATGATTTTCCTGTTAAACACAGTGGAGCCTCTTAGTTACACGTTGTTTTGTGATCAACCAAATTGTAGACTCACCAAACTGCAGATATATCAACTATAGTAATACTGTATCGATATATCAACTTTTGTGGGGCTAATGGAACGTTTTTTGATTTATGTATGACTCATACATAAATCATAAAACGTTCCGTTAGCCCCACAAAAGTCCAACTTGCGTATGATTGGGCTGGTCCAATGGAAATCTTCAGGACGTACCCGACGAAAAAATCATTCGATTGCAGCAGGAGATACAAACCGCTTGGGGGACACAATAAGTGACCAATTAGTGCTCTTGGTTTGAAAAAACGTATACATATATATATCTACATATATATACATAGAGATTTAAATAAATATGTGATATGTAGATATTTAAGTCATGGTCAAAATGGTTGAACAAAACAATACCACTCCAATATTGCAGGATTTTTTGTCAGAGATGTGCACGAAACACTGTAAAGCGATATTGCCGCCCGCAAGGCGATAACGACACAAAACACTGGAAAACGATATGGCCCTCCCCGGAAAACGATAACCGCTAATAGCAACTAGTTCCAAAAGAGTTTGACGGGAGCTCATATCAGAAATAGGTGTATACTTTTTTTTCAAAAAACACAATTTACTCTGTTATATTACAATCAAGTCATGATATTGGTTTACTCCTAGTTATTTGCGAGGTTTCCCTGATATGTTTTCCATCAAAAACCGGAACAAAGCTCTCGGCCAGACCTTTCCCAACTTGCAGCAGCGGCTGCCAGCTGTGTGGAACACACCGCAGCAGGCGAAACGGGGGATCTTCCAGGTTTTTTTATGGCCCCTAGCAGTTACAAGGTGGGCCAACGAAACCGAAAATGGTGATTTAACCAACAAAAATCGGGATTTAATGGGATTTATAGCCGATTTATGATAGCTAAGTTGGTTTATAATTTGGCTAGCATGGTTCATGGTAGGTCTAACGAACTAGTTAAGGGGGGTTATAAACCAAAAAACATAACGTTTGGGGGCCCACATTGTATAAATGGAATGAAATAACTATATTATCATTTTATATATCATCATGAACTAATCCCATATAGTCACATAACTGTTGGAAAAGGGCCAGAATTGTGCATGATTTTCCCAAACGTTGTTTAAGTGGGCACTAGGGGAAAATCATGGGATCATATATTGGAATATATATATATACATGTATGTATACCCTCTGGTTATGACTAACGTAGCTATCGGAAATCATCATTTTAAATAGGTAAATCATCATAAATCAGCTGTATGTATATATATATTATATATAATATTATATATATATTATATATATTATATAATATATATATATATATTATTCTATGTTATATATAATATATATATATATTATATTTAATATATTATATATATATATTATATATATAATACTATATTATATATATATAATATTTTATATATATGATATATATATATTATATTACATATTATATATATATATTATATTTTCTGGAAATCCTGGTTTCAAGCAGTAAAAAAAGGGATCACTGTGTGGCTTTTGACAACTGCTTGGATTGGCTGATCTCACCCTACAAGGTGGTGCCCTCAGTAAGCTGATCAACGCCACTATAGATATCAATATATCTATTGGTTAACTTATAATAAACCAACTGAGCTAGCGGGTCCCACGTCGTCTATATTAATACTATGATATTATACTAGATATGTATATCACATCTCCAAGTGAGGGATAACCATCGTATTGAGCACTCCGATGCACATGCCAAATAAAATGCCATGACAATCCCATTAAGATTCCCACAATTTATTGTTTTTTTGCTACAAGGTGGTGATAAAATAAGTTGGTTCCTAGTTTATAAACCTATCAAAAATCAATGCAATTTTCAACTACTTCAATTCCCATCAGTTTCCCCATTTTGGGTAGAAGTCCTATCGCCATAAAATTTCTCCAGGAGCTCCGCTGCTGCAGTGTGTCCAAGCGCAGGCACCGGGACCCAACTGGTTCCTGCCTCGACCTATGCTCCACGGCACCACCGTCATGGTGCTATTCTTTGGGGGAAAACCTTTTTTTTGTGATTTCACCAGCCAAATTTCAAACGCTTTGATCTTTCAAACATTGTAACTTTTTTTTAGCCCTAAAACAGGCCCTTAATGGCATGATTTATGACTATTTATTGTCCCATTAGATCCCATGCTATCCCATTTATCCAAGAATGGGAGGTATGACGGGATATGGGACAGAATGGGCCCCATCCAAACCAATGGATTCATCGACAGCCTGATCGATGACCGAGGATTCGCTGACCTGGGTCGGGCTACGGAATGTAGTGCCCGCCATCCAAGTCACATCCCTGGTGCTTAGTTTTCCAGGTTTTTGTTTACAATACGGTAATCAAACATTGAAAAATTCTCATGTATAGATGATGTTTGCATAGAAACCTGCATTTATACGGGGTAGTTCCAATTGGCACACTTGATTTCCGAAGTGTATATCCATCAATACAATCCTATTATCATCCTGTTGTTATCCCATTAATATCCCATGAAATTACCATCATTATTATCATATAAACCATACAAACCCATAAACCTCTTTAAAGCCTACTAAACACCATTTGCCAACTGGGATTTGATTAGTTTGATGTCCGAAGGCTACCCTCTGGTAATATCCCAGTAGATCCAAAATCCCAGCATGGAATTATAACTCCTATAACTATCTATAGCTAAGGTTATATATATATACATATATATATATATCATTCTAAGCACCATGAATTGTCCGAGGTTCGATGAAACGCTGCGGAACGCCAGCTGTCGGGCGGTCAGTGGGAGCATCCCGCGCCGTACGATTCGCGCAGGCGACGGTCGTAGGGGATTGGGAAGGGGGAAAGATATGGAAAGTGTATGAAATTCATAAGGTTTAATGGGGATTGGAGGGATTTTCCTCGATGAATTGTGGAACTCCACGTTTTACTTGTGCTGGGTTATTTTCTATCTATCAGTTAGTTAGATCATGGGGTTTCATTAACATGGTGTGATGATATGTTTGATGTGCCTGGATCTGTCTGATTTTTGGGTATCTATCGGGTGAATTCGACTATTGTTTGTTTATATCCCATCATATCCTGATCTGGAGATTATCTGGAAGATTCAACCACCTTCGAACAGTGTAAAGGCAAAGCAGTGCAAACCAGTCTGGGTTTGTTTCAAAATAGAACTCCACGAAATCTATGTAAATTTGATGGTTCCCATAGGATCCATGTATGCTATATATGGTAACATTCACCATCAATATACCCCAAATGTTAGCATATATACCATACATGGATCCTATGGGGTTTATCATGACCCAACAATTGACTTTCGTCGCTTTACCGCATTTTCAGAGCCCAGAATCCCAGGTTTTGAGGATGCTTGCCTTGTCGACCGCGACGAAATATGACACATCCCTTTCTATCAAATACAGGCCCCTTGAGGCCCTCACCCCCAAAGTTCAACTGGTTGATAGTTTCAAACATGTTTTTATTTTCCATAATATATCGGATAATCCTTCCCATTGACGAGCTCATATGTTTCAAGATGGTTAATAAAAACCACCAACCAGTCAATGTTAATGATGTGAATGTTAGCTGAAGATAGCTGAAACATTGAGATTTGGGGTCCATCTACTGTGGGGGGATGGGAGTGGGATATTATAAGTTGGCAAATTGGCATCGGATATTATGGAATACATTGGGATGCTTCATCAGGATTTCTTGTCAAACCTGGTGTTTTCTGGGTACAATGGACGTTTAGGAAAGCCATTTAATGTATAGTAACCCAAAAAAAGATGCCGAAAAAGATTTATCAATCACTATTTTAGTGGGACTTTCCAACATCTATTTCTTTGGGTTGCTATATTTGAATTGCTACACCACAAACATATCAACAATGTGAGGCCCCCCATTTATGAGTTGGTTAACAAAAGCCCCAGTAACTATAGTTATACTGTAAGTACCATAAACCATAGTTATTGGAGTTATGTGCACCAACTTAGCTATCTTGGGGGCCTCACATTGAATATATAATATAGCTCCTGGCAAGCACCCACCCGTCACGGGAATGAAGGCGACTTGGCCAATGATGGCAGTTGCCAGTCACAGTTGAACGTGGAGGTGGAGACTGGGACCGGCATCGACGTGATGAAGTGAACATGGTACTTGAAGGCAAAATCCTATGAAATAGCCCAGTTGTAATGTGTATATATATATAATATATATAAAATATGTATGTATGTATTTATATATATATATAAACCATCAATTATAGAGATTTTATGGAGTTTCTAACTCTCAAAGACATGGAATATACCCTCTGGTAAACTAACATAGCGAACTGGGAAATCACCGTTTATAGCTGGGTAAATCAACTGTTTCTATGGCCATTTTCAATAGCTACGTTAAATTACCAGAGGGTGTGTATATAGATATATATATATATAATGTTTGTGAAACAATGCCATAAATCATCTCCAATTTCACCATAAATAGGTTGTATAAACAATTCCCAAATTGGTGGTTTATTATTGTTTTCCCAAATATATATATATATATATACATGATCACCTCGATGTTAAGCAAGCTACAGGAAATTTCATGGATATATATATATATATATACCTGTGGATGCTTCAAGAACCATGTTTCTCTATGACTCTATGAATGTTCATGGATGAATCAGCAAAAAGGTGTTGGTTGACTCTCCAGCAATCCAACCAGTATTGGAACATACCCTCTGGTAATTTGTTACATAGCGACATTGAACATGGCCCAGTCGAAATAGTGGATATTTACCCATTAATTAATAACATGGTGATTTTCCATCAGTTTTTTGTATGTTTACCAGGTCGGGTAAGACATGTCCATTGCTATTCTTGATTAGCAGAGGACGTCATTTGCATCCACCGGGGGGGCGATTTTTTGTCTTTGGGCATACCACTACATTAGTTGTGAAAACCATAGGAAAATGGAGGTTTACCCTCTGGTAAACTAACAGTTTGCGAACTGGAAAATCACCATGTTCTAGCTGGGAAAATCAACTATTTCGACTAGGTCGTTTTCAATAGCTATGTAACAAATTACCAGAGGGTAACCTATGGTCATTTAACGTAGCTAGTAAATTCACCCATCTATGAATAGGTAAACCATCTATGAATGGGCCACTGGGCCACTTCGCTATATTAAAAGGGTACGTGTTTTTCATCCTACCATAGCACCACATTTCACCACAAAGCATGATGTCACGTCACAGCAACTTGGATTCCAAGAATTATTATGTGGAACCCCATGAACCTCCATACATCAGAAAATATTTCCAAATTAAGTACGCATGGTTATGTAAATATGTAACAGCTATGGGAATGTTCCCACTTATAGATGATTTTATGATGCTTTACGTATTAGAAATTGACATTTCCATAAATTGCCCGAGTATACATTAATTCCTATGAAAGTTTGTTAAATCCCATGAACAACGCCTGCATTGCCCTGCAGGTCTTTCGTGATACGCCGCCCATCGTTTTGGTGAAGGGTTTTGCCACAGTTGAGGATTGTGAGAAGTTGTCACCTGGCAGCTATTCAACCTGAAAACAATATACCAAAAATGCGATCAGATACCTCCGGTAAACTAATATAGCTATCGAAAATCGTCATGTTTAATGTCAAGTGAGGATTAATAATCCCCCCCCGGATTAATCAACCACCATTGCCCAAAAAAAAAATTGTAATTTAAAAACAGGTGGTCCCCACAGATTAATAAACCGGTGGGCCTACCCCCGATTAATCAACCACCACTTCGGAAATCATTTTTTTTTATCCAACATTTTTTATTTCCAATTCTATTTATTTCCAATTGTTTTTTACCTTTTTTTTAATCATCATTGTTATACTTCAGGTTTAAGTTGATCATTGAAAATTTCAAAAAACAACTATTCCCCAAATGATCGATTTCTAATTAAAATATTTATAAAAAACATCAGTTTGGATAGCTCCCAAAGGGTACCCCCCATGAGCCCATGTCCCCCAGTAATAATAACCATGGTTTGCCCCTGATTAATCAACCACCTTTCTGATCCATGAAATTTTAACAAATCCAATGGAATTCTATTAAGATCTAATTGACGTAAGCCATATCCAAAGTTTTATGGTTCAGAGTTGCTTATTATTAAGGGGTGATTTTCTAGGTACATCCTACCTTCTGGGGGGGGGGGTTATTAATCCGGTGTTGGCATTAATAGGTAAATCAGCGATAAACAGTCATTTTCAACAGCTATTTTTACATATCCAGAGGGTACATGTTCTTTATCAATGAACTCCCGATTTTGGTCCGGCGATGGTGGTCCTGTTGTTTGGTTTTACCATCCCGCTAAACTCGGGATTGCTCCACCAGTGAAAGTTGTTTTTTCATCCTAAGAACACACCGTATGATTAACTACCCTCTGGTTATTTAACGGTTAGCCATGGTATAGATGGTCCATTTATAGGCAATGGATACCCTCTGGTTATGACTAACATAGCAATGGTATAGATGGTCCATAGAAATAGATGGTTTACCGAACTTAAAACATGGTGGATCTTTCCATGGCGAACTGTTAAATAACCAGATGGCACCAGTAAACATTGGGAGACACCCCCAAGACACTTTTATTTAATAGTGGATATGTTTCTAAAAAAGACATACCCATGAATAAATGTGCTATAGTAACTTAGTGCGTATCTGCTGTTTGCTTTGGATGAGGTGGTGGAACATGCTATGAAGAGGGGCTCCATTGCACCTGCAACACCGGAGATGCTATCGCCAGGTGGAAGCAAAGGGAAAATATGCCTCTCCCGTTGGTGCGCCCATTGGCGAAGTCTATCAATGTCTACTGTATCTATCTTTCTAGAATTTTCTACAGTTTTGGCCCTAAACAGTCATAAATGGAATATTAATTCCTGTAACTAAGTTATAAACCCATTTATAATTGTCAAGGGCCATAACTGTATCATCCCATTATTATTTGCATTGTGTCTATCGTTGTCTAGTGTATCTATCTTTCTATCCACCTGTACAGTTGCATGGGATAGCAAGGTTTTTTCTATAGAAATATACTTTGCTGCAAGGTGCTGCGCCCCCCCTTAGTTATAAATGGGTTATCCCATTAACTAGTTCGATATATCACCAACAAAAACCATAGTGAAATTGGACTTATAAATTTACACCAACCAATCGCTATCATAAATCAGGTATAATTTCCATTAAACCCACATGTTCCTATGGTTTCCACACGGCTATCACCAACTTCACGATTTAGCTCACTGGGGCACCACCCTGTGGCATGTTTGTTAAGCTGTACAAGTCACCCGGGCCATCCCAGGTTGAATCAGGTTGATGGTTTACCGAGCGCACCGGCCAAAGCATCGGGCGCTGCTGAAGGCTTCATTCGGAGGCACGGGGAGATTTCATCGGATATCATGGGGACAAAGGGAAAATCATGGGAAATCTGGTTAGATTTTTCCATGGCATATTGAAAAATCATGTTTTTGAATCCCAGATTTTTGAAATTGAGGTGTTTGTTTGTGGAGCATTTAAGTAATATATCTCACTATAATATCCGCATTCTACGAGGTCAGGAACCCTAGATAGCTATAAGTTGGTTTGTAAACCAACTGAGCTATCGAACGGGGGCCTCACCTTGTAGATCAATTTGGGGATATTATTAATGTAGTAAAGCTAATAGTAAACCAGCCCCAATTGGTAGTTATTATTGGGTGTAGTCACGTCGACGTAGTCCATTCTTTGGGACTTCGGGAAGCTGTTCTGATTTTTCTGACCTCAGCAACGCTTGACGCAGAATCTCTGCATGAGGGCAGGAGCTTGACGGAGTCACATCGCCCTGTGGCTGAAAGGATTTCTGGGTTCCAACGGCGTTTCATCAACAGCGAGCATTCAGAATGTTGGAACCTTCAGAGCCGTGCTTCGGATGCGGAGATTTGAACATCCAAGAGTACCCTCTGGTAAACTAACATGGCGAACTGGAAAATCACCATTTTTAGTGGGTAAATAAACTATTTCTATGGCCATGTTCATTAGCTATGTTAAATTACCAGAGGGTAAGTGGCTGGTTGGTGGTTTGGAACATTATTTTTATTGACCATAATATATATATATGGGATAATCCTTCCCATTGACGAACTCATATTTTTCAGGATGGTTAAAACCCCCAACCACAGTGTTTTTTTGTTTTTCTGAAGAAGATGATAGATTGCTTCGACAGGCTGAACGGTAAAAAAATGGATGTTACTCAGCGTGATGGATTCAACGTCACACCAGCGCATGCCGTAAATTGAGTGCCTACACCAGAGGGTATATCCCATTAATCATCATGAATCACCAATAAATCACAATTAACCATGATTAACCACTATTAACCATTACCAGAGGGTATCATGGTTAATCTAGTGGTTTATCCTACACACCAGCGGATGGCAAGCCGTTTTAAGTATGCTTGCCATACGACAGCGAATCATGACCCGATAAATTGCTTGTAGTGGAGAATCCATGAGCAATTTGACTCAATGGGAATTCCAGGATCCTAAAATGGAGGTACTGTACCATATAAGGCCATATTTTCTGGGGATATTCCCTTACATAGGCCTAAAAAATAGGCCTTATATATGGTAGGTACCTCCAATTTAGCTTACTGAAATGGCCATTGATTGACTGGTTGTGTTTCTGAGGGGCTATTTTTGCGTGGGGTTTTTGCGTGGAAATAACAACATGGGTAGACTAGCGGGATGGTACCCCCAAACCCTCCAGTCAGCAGTTTAGTATAGTTTAGTGTTGAAAACCCCATGTGTTTTTGGGGATGTTCCATTTTAAGAAACCCCTTCTGAAAACCCAAAATGTTTTTGGATGTTTTTTGTTTACGGCCTAGTTTTTGAGATCATGATTGGGCGGCCCATCGAACCAGCCAAGGCTCTTGAGGGGTGGGTGACCATAAGATCTCATTTGTTGCGGGCCGCTGTCGTGGGAAAGCCCTCTGTTCAGATATGAGATGATATGAGATAGGGATGATTTCAAAGGACCCCTTAATGGTTGGTTACCGGGATTGCTCATTGGTGGGCTATTCACGTAATTGGAATTCATAATACTATCGTTTGAGGGACATCATTGGGATAGAATTATGGAATATATTGGGATGTGAGACCATGTCCAGTGTGTTCATTGTCAAATAAAGGAGGTTTCACACAACCATTCTATGGGATATCTTTGGGATGTACACAGAAGGATTTGTGTCCCAGATGAAATGTGGTTTATAACTTGTCATTATATATAATATACAGCCCATACAGAACCTCTACTATATAATATATAGAACCTGTATATTATCTTTACACTGGAATTATCGTGACTTATTGATTTATGACAAATATGTGCGAGATTGTCATCATTTGTTGGCGATGGTTCATGGCATTGGAATTACCGCATTAAACAAAGCTAGTTGGTGTCTCACCCTAATTAGGAAGGAAGTTATAACCCCAGTTCCAAGTAGGACAAGTAGGCTTAGTCCAGTTATAGTCTGGTGGAAAATATTTGGATGTAATTGAAATACAGGTGTTTTCTGTCAAGCATGGTGTGTTTTCAGGGTATAGTGGAGGTATCACAAAGCCATGGGCAATGGAGGTTTAGCCGGTTTAGCCATGAATATCCCCTGTTATAGACCATTACACCCCCATCATGGTCCCTTTAAACCACCCCAATGTTTAACAACATGTGTCCTGTTCCTACAAGAAGGGATTCCAGCAAGTTATACCCTCTGGTAAACTAACATAACTATGGAAAATCACCATTTTATAGCTGGGTAAATCAACTATAAATGGCAATTTTCAATAGCTTTTTGTTTGTTTACCAGAGGGTAGGTTGGTTGATCTCCCCATCAAACTACTTACATCCACAATCCAATCGGTAGCAGGTGGCCCCTGCGAAAGAGATGCAGACGCCGCTGATGTTTCAGACATTTGAACATTCCCTATGGAACCAAACACTTTCTGAGAAGGTACTTAACCCAATCATAGCCCAAATATTTCTTGAGAAGGTACTTGGATCCATACAATGTGAGGCTCCCAAGATGGCTAAGTTGGTTTATAACTCCAATAACTATGGTTTATGGTACTTATAATGAACTAGTTACTGGGTAACATCACTGGGGGGCCTCACATTGTAGGGATTTGATTTGTTGAAAAAGATGGAACATGACCTTGACAATCGTCAACTAGTACGTATCGGATATCTACAGCAGTACAGTAAAAATCATGTCAGATATGGTCCAAAGGACCTTGGGCAATTTCTGGACGAATATAGGTTTTCTGATTTGTTTAGGTACCATAAATATCCATAAATCATCATAAATCCATTGATCAATCATCATTGTCCCTATTAAATTGGCCCAAAATGGCCATATTCTCTACAACAAATCGTGATATCAGTGATATCCCATATTATCCCTATTAGCCATATGTTTTCTTTCAAACAAAATCGTGAGAGTTTATTCCCCGCAGGTCAAGTAGCAAGAATTTGGACTGGGAGATGCTTCACCCTACAGATGACTTGCGGGTCTTCAAGTCCCGGTCACCCGGCCATCTCGGCGACGGCGAGGGTGGCTCAATCTTCGATGGGTAGAAACTAATCCTAACTAGTCTTTGGGTATCAATGGGATTTTCTACCAACCAGCTAAGACTTTATTCCCCACCTGCCAGGTGAGGGTTGTTAGATTTTATGTCAGTTGCTTCCTCCTCGTCCTCCTCCTCCTCGTCCTCGTCCTCCTCCTCGTCCTCCTCCTTCTCGTCCTCCTTCTCCTCCTCCTCCTGCTCCACTGCGATCCATGTCAGTGTGTCCTGCCGGACCTCAACCACGACCATCCACGTTCAGTGTGCCCTGCCGGACCTCAACCACGACCATCACCGCCCAGTGTTCCCTGCCTGACCTCAACCGCGAGTATCCCCGCCCAGTGTTCCCTGCCGGACCTCAACCACGACCATCCACGCCCAGTGTTCCCTGCCGGACCTCAACCACGACCACGCCAGTGTTCCCTGCCGGACCTCAACCCATCCCCGCCCAGTGTTCCCTGCCGGACCTCAACCACGACCATCCACGCCCAGTGTTCCCTGCCGGACCTCAACCGCGAGTATCCACGCCAAGTGTTCCCTGCCGGACCTCATGTAGGAAGATAAAATGTCAGATAGAGTGCCAGAAGATTTGCCAGGTAGAATGCCAGAAAATATGCCAGAAGATATGCCAGATAGATATGCCAGAAGATATTCCAGAAGATATGCCAGATAGAATGCCAGATAGAATGCCAGATAGAATGCCAGATAGAATGCCAGAAGATATGTCAGAATATATGCCAGAAGATATGCCAGAAGATGTGCCAGTAAGAACATGTATAAATGTCATGGTGGGGATCACACGAAGTAAAGTAATTTTTTTTGCAGGACATTTTTCAGATTGGCCATGAAAAAAAGGAAATGGATAGCCTCCAGACAGCAATCATTCACAAGTGGCAACGGAAAATCCCTGATACCATCTGGTTATTTTACTAACAGTTTGCCATGGAAAGATCCACCATTTTTAATAGGTAAACCTAGGTAAACAATCTATTTCTATGGGCCATCTATACCACGGCTATGTTAGTCATAACCAGCGGGTAAATGAGTTGTCCATTACCCATAGGATCCATGTATGCTATATATGGTAACATTTACCATCAATATACCCCCAATGTTAGCATATATACCATACATGAATCCTATGGGTTAAAAGACCTCCATTGAGTTAGCGGGGATTTTCAAACGCTACCCACGTTTAAAGATGGCACCAAGGAGGGTTTTTGTAGTGATGAAATCTCAGCAACAATTGTGACGTTTTCTCAGAGGACGTCTTCGGGGAACAAGGTCACTTTTTTGGGTACCCCCTTGCTGGCTATTAGATGGTACCATAGTGGTTACATAATTAATGGTTATAATCCCTAATGGTTATTTAGTATTAGATGGTTGATACTCAACATAATTATAAATTATATTAAACGATGGTTGATAATGTCAACTCCGGATGAATGTCAACCATGGTTTATGAGAAAAGAGGGGGTACTCCTCCAATAGTCATTTCATGTAATACCTTTTTATGGTACCCTCCCAATTAAACAGCCGTTATGGGGTTTATTAATCCAGGGTTGACATTGCTCAACATAATTATAAATTTAATCCTAAAATCGGTACGGTGCCATAGGGCAAAAGAAAATTTTGACCCATTTAGACAATGGATCTGCTTGGTGGTGTGATGTTCAATCTCCCATCCTCGATGAGACGAGCAGTTACTTATTTCTGCTTTTACTTTACTGTGAAATCACCGTAGAAATAGCTAGAAGTAGTATGAAATAGCTAACCCCAAATGGGACATTCTTAGATCTTAGATAATCTTAGATCCTTAAACGAAATACCATCTGGTTATTTAACATAGCCATGGAAAATGGCCCATTTATAGATGGTTTACCTATTAAAAAGGGTGATTTTCCATGGCTATGTTAGTCATAACCAGATGGTAAATAAAACGACCAATCTTTGTGGAGCACATCACTTGTGATACCCAATTTCAGCCCGATGTCTGAAACTTGTAGTACCCCTGAACGATGGTTTATTACTGAAAATGACCAGTTAGGCACTGGTGGTTATGATTATGATGTTTACTTCATTTTTTTATTTGACAAACTGGAAAAACATGTTATAACATGTTATGAAGAATGTGAATGTTCAAGTCCTTTGTGGTCTGTACATGTCTGTCCGACGATTGCGTCTTGACAAGTCCAATCTCACAGCACAAGCTCCAGATCGGATGATTAGATCATCTTGTGATTCACCAGACATATAGTCCATGGAAGCTATCACCGGTGTCTTCGTGATATCTGTAGCGAACTCGGAATCAAGGTTGACCTCCTTCTTTTCCATGTGCTGTTAGGTTTTACTTCGCATCTTTAGAAATGAGGAAGTTGTTGCATCATTTCGAAGGAGCTGGTGGTTGGGCAATGTGAGTTGGCTACGGCTGGACGTTGGCAGGATTTTTTTCGAGCAAGGTTTTCGAGCAACAAGTTGCCCCGTTGTTTCCAGACCATCTGGGGATGGGTCAAAACCATATGACTGAGGGAAAAACCATCCAGCTATACCAGCTATGACTTTGGGTACCGTTTAGGTACCGGGGTTTTGACCCATAACCTTCTGAGATTGGCACCAAGGATGTTTGCACTGACGCGCAACTTGACGGGCTACCCAATTCCGTCAGAAGCGTCGGAAGCCTTGAACATTGCCGCCTATGGCATCGGTCACTTGGTGAGTTTGCATCGGTCACTGGGTGCATGGATATTAGCATTTCGGTGGATGTAAGTGGTTTGGAACCTATATACTGTATGTATGTGTATATATATATGGGAATATGCCATACATAAATAAGGGTATCCTGGAATATAACATGGTTAGTATCCACATTCAAAGTGGGATGCACCCCCAAGTGTCAGTGTGATATCAGTGTCATATCACGGAGAGAGGTGAAGAATGGAGCAGTGTTCAAAACCCGCCCTCGTAACTCGCTGGTTAATAGGATGTTCCATCTTGGATTGCGGTAATCCCCACTATATGAGGGAATATAACCCAGAACCCCGTAATAATTGGAATCAACCAACGGGGGTTCAAGTCATCATGCATCTGGGTAATGAGATTATCATGAGGTCAATGACATTGGTGATCACACTGATTAACCAGGATCTGGATTGAAAATTGTGACACCTCAAAGCATTTGTATAGCCTATCAAGATATAATGGGGCTATCAATCTATCAATCATTAATAACTGGTTGGTGGTTTGGAACATTAATTTTATTTTTCCATATATTGGGAATATCTTCATCCCAACTGACGAACTCCATTATTTTTCAGAGGGGTAGGTCAACCACCAACCAGAGAAGTATCAGTAATGGCGGTTCCCTTTCAGTGGTTCCCAATATAGTTTGCTAAGTTGGTTTATTTCATTAGATTGGGGACGGTTTATAGCAAGAAATGTCTAGAGTGAATGGGATTTACAAACTTACTTATAACTGGGGGGAGCACTGCATTAATTCTTCGTCAATGGGGTTGGCATGTTTCCATAAATCCAACCATGGATACACTTTGGATGATCATACAATATAGAGCCGACAGTGTGACACATGGTTATTGCATATTTCCAGAAGAACTCATCCATTGATACCTGTCTAGTTGTTTATTTCTATATTATATCTGCATAATATCCTAAGTTATTTAATTAGAAAACAGATGATGTATGTATGGTTCAATATTGTTTAGGTTATAACTTTGTTCACTACTATTTATTTAATAAGTACAGTATTATTTAGATATACATATAAATATATAAAACAAGTAAATAGATACCACTATTTATTTGATTATGTGTGCCACTATTTTAGTTATGTGTGTGTACAATTTGTTTCAGAATACCACTATTTATTTAAGAATCCCACTACTTTTGTATTTGTGTCCCATTGTTAAAACATACCGTTAAATACAACTATTTATTTCTTGATGTGTTCACTTTTAGCGGTATATGTTTTTTGTTTTTTGTTTTTATTGGGTAAATAATATATATATAATATACATATCATATATTTGATCCTAATGTATCAATACTATAGGCACCCATGTTTATGGTATATTATGAGTAAATACCTATACAGTATTGGCTCTTAAGAGTTATACATGGAATCACAACTCTTATAGCTAAGTTATATATGATTATTATCGCAATATATACCAATATAATTATCCCGGATAATATAACCCATAAGCCCGTATAATCATTACTATAGATACCTATTATATATACCCTCTGGTTGGGTACCCCCATGAATTAGGAAACCTCCATATATATATATATATATAATCATTATGGGTAAATACCTACAATGTGAGGCCCCCAAGATAGCTAAGTTGGTGAACATAACTCCAATAACTATGGTTTATCGTACGCAAATAACTATAGTTACTGGGGCAAATCTAAACCAACTTAGCTATCGAACGGGGGCCTCACATTGTATAACTATTTCTTTGTCCGGTTCGCCACGGTGCGCAGGAAACTGAGGTGATGAATACCGCGCGCATTGCGATGGTCGCTGCGGTGGTAGCGCACTGGACCGGCACGGTGAACGAGTGGCATCCTGGCGGGTTGAACCGTTGCGCGGGGCCGCGGGGCGCGGCCGCGCGGAAGGTCAAGGTGAATATTGGGGTAAAACGATAATAAAAAAAAGCAAGGTGGTGCCCCAGTGAGCTAAATCACTAAGTTGGTGCGTGGAAAAAAGTCCAATTTCACTTTGGTTTATAGGTGAACTATCGAACTAATTAGTTAATGGGATTATAACCCATTTATAACTGGGGGGGCCACCACCTTGTAGGGATAGAATGGATACAAATGATGGTTAGTTGATGATTATGTGGCATTGTTTAAGTTGAATATTGTGTGAACCACCAACAGTTTGAGATATTTAACCAACAAAAAATCTCGGGTTTAGGCCTGGACCTACGGGGTATGCCGCATAAAGCTGGTGGATACCCCTAAATGAACATGTTCATATGGAACATGTGAGGCCCCCGTTGGATAGCTAAGTTGGGGCCTACATAACTCCAATTTCACTATGGTTTATGGTACGCAAATAACGAACTAGTTACTGGGGCGAATCTAAACCAACTTATAACTGGGGGGCCTCACATTGTATGGAACATGTTGATAAACCATCAAATTTGGCACGGTACATTGTTTCAGTCGCACGCACATGTTTTAAGCACCCCAACAAATGGGACTAAATCCCATGTGATCTCCTGAAATGGGGGCCTCAATCTCATCCAATGACCGGGCGGGAAATGTAATAAAATCAATGTACAATCATATAATCATATAAAATCATATAAAATCATATAAAATCATGTAAAATCATTCGGGTTACAAGGTTACGACATGTTACAACCAACAGGGCGGAAACGATGGCGCTTTCGTTAAGATGGGATTTATGGCAAGTTTGGTATCTCACATCCAAAAAATGTGTCGAAAGGCTTCGAAAGGCCAACAGGATTAGGACGGAAGTGATATCAACATCCCATAGGATCCATGTATGGTATATATGCCAACATTGGGGGTATATTGATGGTAAATGTTAGCATATATAGCATACATGGATCCTATCGGCATTGGACATGTATATGAAAATAGGACTATCACCTGCAGAACACATCGGATGTACATAAAACTCCTTAAAACCAACAAACTTCAGTGGGTGCTTGTTGTCAAATGTTATCAGCAAGTTTACCCTCCAGATTAAAAAGAGGTATTCGGAACGTCAACCAGAAATGTAGATATTTTTTTTCCAGAGGAAAGCCCTGGATTTCCGGATGATAAACCCTTGATGGGTGGTAGCCTCTGGTAATTTGTTACAGTTTGCTATTGAAAATGGCCCAGTTGAAATAGTGGATTTACCCAGCTGGAAAATGGTGGATCTTTCCAGTTCGTTTTTTGTATGATTACAGAGGGTAGTGATTTTAGCAGCGGCTGATGTTGATCGTTTTTGGCAACCCCAAGTCATAGATAGACAAGTGGGACACCTGGAAATATTTTTTCGGGACCTGGTCTGACCTGGGGAATTTGGAAACAAGTAATTCTCCTGATAGAAATACTGTAGAAATGTATATATGATAAAGCATGTACATCTACAATCTCGAGTAATTATATGATATTATATATGTACATATACAATCTATAGTGCATGTTCATCTTTTGCAGGATCAATATCATCTATACCATCCTCACATGTCCTTTTTGTTGGTGGTTAATATGAACCATTCCATTTTGGGGTACCCACTGGCTTGGGATCCATACCCGTATCCCTAATTACTTTGTTCTATCCCCATCGTCATATAAGACCAATTCGTGGTGATTTCCGTTGTTCTTGTTGGGTCCACTAGCATTGCCGCAATGAATGATGCAGGGACTCGATTCACATCCACATCCTGACTGTTTGATGTATTTCTGCGGCCGATTCCGGTTGTTTGATGATGTTGTTCTGATATAATCCGGGAAAATCATAGATCACATATTTCATATAGTTATACGTATAGTCACTTGCTTGAACCATGTGAATTCCCCAATCTTCGATGATGGTCCAGAATGAACCCCAAGAATTGTTGAGACTGAAAATTGCCAAAGTCCACAATCATTGCATCACCTGTGCCTTGAATTTTAACCCATATGATCTACAATGTGGTCTCCTCAGTTGTAAGTTGGTTCATAACTATGTAGTTCGATATATCTACCATATGTCCAATTGTCATTAGAGTTATATTCATCAACTTAGCTATCATTATCATATATCAGCTCTAAACCCCATGAAATCCCATTGTTTCTTCATGAAAAAACACCATGTTCCAATGGTTTTGTCAAGGGGGGCACCACCTTGATTATATACTGTAATATACTGTAATTAAAAATTGGATCCAAAATCGAAGGCCACCAGCATCGTTTACTGCGAAGTGGCGGCTCTTGGTGCGCTCTGAACCGGGTGGGGCGGTTGCTCGTGAGACCCCTAGATTTCAAAGTTTTCAAGGTAGCTAAGGTGGTTTATAACTCGAACACCTAGGACTTCTGGTAGATATATCGAACTAGTTCATACGCCCACCAACTTATGTCTGGGGCACCACATTGCCATGCGGTTGGTTGATTCCACCGAACTTACAGGGACCCCTTGGCTGGGACCTTCACTTCCTTCATAAATTTCCCATATACTATTGGCTGGTTGGTGGTTTCAAACATGAATTTTATTTTCCAATTTTCCATTTCATATATGGGATGTCATCCTTCCCATTGACGAACTCATATTTTTCTAGATGGTTATTGCACCACCAACCAGGTTATTATTAACCATCATTAACCATATCAAAACCATATATTAACCATTATTAACAGTATATTAACCATATAATAACCATATTTGTTGGTGATTTTTTATTTTGCACCACCAACCAGTTGGGAGTTGGGAATGGGGGTCCCATCATTGGTGTCAGAAATTTCATGGACCTATTTCACCACCCCGTGGAGATATTCATCTACTTAGTACTTAACATACTGAACATTAATAATATATAAAAATAACATGTTATAAATGGAAAATAAGTCCTAGAACTAAGGTTCTATAAAGTTATATATCATTATAAACCAACATAACTATGGAAAATCACCACTTTTAGTGGGAAAACTCACTATTTTGATGGCCATGTTCAATAGCTTTTTGTTAACGTTTACCAGAGGCTAGCTAGACTCAGCTAGACTGACCGTGGGGCACCAAAATGATTTTGTGGAGGTAAACCGGTAAACCCAAGAAGGGAAAAAACCTGGTAGTGTTGTGGAGCAAGTATGGGATAATATGGGATAATATGGTATGATATTTCAGTAGCCCAGTAAAACCATCCCGATTGAAGTTTATCCCTGATGATCCCTGAAGCGCCACTGTCGCCATTTTTAGGATACCCCAATGTATGACTAGGATATTAGTACTTATTTACCCTTGACAATACAATGGTTATGGTTTATTAGCATATTCAATATGAACGTGGTACCCTCTGGTTATGACTAACATAGCCATGGACAATGGCCCATAGAAATAGATGATTTTCCCAGCTAGAAAGCCTCCATTTTTCTATCAGGGATTTTCCGTGGCAAACCGTTAGGTTAAATAACCAGATGGTACCATCTTTTGACCATGGCACATATGATCTATGGCCATTTCAGGAACCGATTTATTGGAGGTACCTACCATTAGGAAAAAATGCCCATTGTTCAGGCCTAAATTTCAGGGAATATCCCCCCAATTCATATGGCCAGAAATATGGTACTAACTTACCTCCATAAATTGGATCCTGGAGATCTCCCATTGATTGAAGTTTATGGCATGGGGTAAGCTGCGATAATCTTTCTTCTGGCACCCTTTGGGGCACTGGGATGGAAAGGACATCTCAGCGATGACTCCAGTCATGACAAACAATAGCGTGTGATGCGAAAACGCCGGAAATTCAGAACAAACACACCCTTGATTCATTGATTGTTGCTCTGATTTGTCATTGTTACACCCAAATGCTCCATGTATGGAATATTATTTATCAACATTTACCCAAAAAATCACCCAAATGTAGGTAAATATACTATACATGGAGCATATGGGATACAAAAACGGTGGAAAATCAACATGTTTAATCACCATGTTTAAAGGGCAAACCAACGATTTCTTTTGGCCATTTTCAATGTCGCAAACTGTATGTTTACTGTATTTCAAAGCTCAAATTCCTGTGATCAAGCTGAGAGCAAGTGACTTGAAAGTGGCAGTGTATGGTTATCCGCAGATTGGCAGATGGAGGTTTCCATAGTCATGGGGGATCCAAAAAAAAAGGATTGTTTATTTCATGGAAAATCCCAATCTAAAGTGGGTAATCCTATTAAAATGGATGGTTTCCTATTAAAATCCTATGAATTACTATGGGGTACCCCTATGACTTCGGAAACCACCAAATTCTTTGATTTCATGGTTCCGAAGCGCGCGAGGCGTTGAAGGTGAATCAGAAACCATCCGGAGTAGGGGATTGCCACATAGCCTTGAAATTTACTACATTTATTGCTGGTTTGGAACATGAATTTTATTTTTCCATGTATTGGGAATAGTAATCCCAACTGACTAATATTTTTTCAGAGGGGTTGAAACCACCAACCACCAACTGGAATGAATGGGATTTACTGGGATATAATGATATACCCTCTGGTAAACTAACATAGCTGTTGAAAAATGCAATGTATAGTTGATTTTCCCATTAAACATGGTGATTTTCCAGTTCGCTATGTTGAAATACCAGAGGGTACCACATTTCTTGGTCACCATTCTCACATCCCCAGAATGGAGTTTAGTATACTACAAACATGACAATTGTTTGTGCTTTTTTGGGGTCAAAAGGGGAATAATCTATTGCTACATCTGAGTACAAGAAGGAACTAAAACTCCTAAACTTGGAAATGGGATGGTTTGAGGAGGTTTTGCTATACCTTCACTGTAGTGTAGCTGGATGCAACTGAATGTTTCAATATAATTCTAGGGGGTCAAAATCCCTTGTCACCAGCATGCAATTCGCAAAAAAGTCAAAATCCCTTGTCACCAGCATGCAGTTCGCAAAAAAACAAGTTCCATGTTGAGATTCTGAGGTGAAGTACATTTAAGATCATTTAAGTTTGTTCTACCCCTTTCTACCCACACGGAATGATGGTTCGATTGTTCCAGCATGATTTTCTCCACCTCCGCCACGTTGCCCTAAAAATGATGTGTTTCCCCATTAATTATTGTTGGATTGTGCCGTTGGTTTGGTTTAAGGAAACAACTACATGAAACCCCTGTAATTGTATGTGAGGGGGTAAAATCCATGGTTTCTTCTGAAATTCCCTTGCCCATCCTTACAATCTGGTAAGCTAACATAGCGAACATGGACCATTTATAGATGATTTCCCGAACTTAAAGATGGATGATTTTCCAGTTCGCTATGTAAACGTTTACCAGAAGGTATATCACCCAGTAAATCCCATTCATTCTCATTAAGTCACCATAAGAGCCCATAAATACATGTTAGTGAAGTAAAACATCCCATGAAGTCGCCATGAAACTCCATTAGATACCATGACCCATAGGATCCATGTATGGTATATATATATATAGCATACATGGATCCTATGGGTGAAGTAAATCCCATCCATCTTTCATGTGGATGGTTGGCTCCTCAGGTGGACATACCACATTCACCTCTCAGCATCTCAAGGTGGTGCCTCAGCAAGGCCATGATCAGTCGGGATCAGTCGGAGGGTTTCCAGGGGGATACCAAGAGAGAAAGCTGGATGGTTTTCATGGAAAATCCCATAAATGACATGGGGTCATATTTGAAATCTGAACTTGTCATTCTGGATGATTTATTCTTCATATATTTCATATTTTCTGGATGTTTCAATGAAATTGATACAGAAAAATCTATTGGAACATCCTTTGAAATCACTAGGAAGATCCGAACGTAAAATGGATGATGCTAGCCGGGCTAGCCCCATGACGAATCCGATACCTCCATCGTCTTTTAAGGCGATGATTTCGTTGTTCTTGAGGGGAAATTCATCAGAAATGGGGAAGCTATACCCATAGGATCCATGGTGCTGGTATATATGCTAACATTGGGGGTATATTGATGGTAAATGTTACCATATATAGCATACATGGATCCTATGGGATAGGGATCTTTTCATTTTTTTGGAATGGGGGTTCCTTCAGCAAATCCAAAATGTGAAAAACTGGTGAACATGTGTGATACATGGGAGTTCCCGAACAGTTTGTTCCACATTTGTTTGGGTTGTTCCAACCCACAACAGGCGAATGGTCGTTCAAAATCCCCACAACAAGCGAATGGTCGTTCAAACAAATCCCCACGACATTGGGATTTGTAAATCCTCACCTATGTTTTTTTGTTTTAACAACTCATTACAATATACATCATGTACTCTCGGAAGAAATCTCACCATAACTGCTATATGCAATAGATTATACTTGTGGATGATGAGAAAATACATGGGGATCCAGCCTTTTCAAGCGAAAGCCAGGGGGAACACCAACTCCATAAGGGATCCGGTACATCCCGGAAAACATAGATCAAATTGGGATCTGGTAATCCCTGATCTATTTGATGAAAACATGTCCTGGGATAAACTTTGATTATAATATATCATATATATATATACAATATGTAATCATATGTATATAATGTTATCTATAGATACTACATGATACTATTATCTATAGGAGTTGAGCTTGTGACGCCACTCAACTTGGCCCTTCCGCTCATTGCTCATGGATTGGATGCAATCCTCGACCCAGTCCATCATCGAGATCCAGACAGTACTGCAAGCTGCCCAACCATCTACTGGTGATGCTGATACTGTCAACTCCATCGGTTCACATACTTCAATGGCCATTTCAGGAACCTAAATTGGAGGTACCTACCATATATAAGGCCTATATAAGGCATATGTAAGGGAATATCCCCACAAAATATGGCCTTATATGGTACAGTACCTCCATTTTAGGATCCTGAAATTCCCATTGAATACTGCAGGTTTTTTTTGAAGTGCCAGTCTCAACGCCACTCTTCACAGAAGCCGATGGCTGATCTCCATTCTTTTCCGGCACGAACTCTTCACATGTTGCAGGTCTTTTTTGGTTCTTAGGGCTCCTACATCCAAGGGCCAAGAATTACACGAAGGGACAAACAAACAACAGGACTATCCAGAACATGGACTCTGAGGCTTAAGAACTTGGTTGTATAAATAGTTGCTACAGTTGACTTCATGATGCTGCATGCTCTGAATCAGCCTTTAGTCAGCTGTCGATTGTTTTTTTCTAGGTGAAGTATATGAATGTATATGATGTATCGGGATTATTTTTGAATATTTTAGTTATATTCTACACAGACTTCATGGTGTCTACACCCAAACTTATCACTTCTGTGGCACCAACACAGCATCGATACTGCATGGTGGCACTGCGTACAGTTTACTAGAGAGTTCATGACCTCAAAAGCCAATGATGCCTATACAGTTATTGCCCAACTAACAGTGATAAATCGAATGAACTAGCTCAACTAAGTTTCTATATCATCACAAATCCATTTATATATATATATTTATATATCATATAACTAAGTTCATATATCATCATAACTAGTTGGTTATATATTATTATAATATATTCTACCTATCCTTCTGGTTGGGGATGTCATAAGCCCTTCAGTTATTGCCCAACTAACAGTCATAAATGAAATGACATAACTCATAACTATAAATAACTCCTATAACTAGTTGGTTATAGATCATGAAATAATCCCATAAACATCCGATTAAAATATATGGATATGCTAGTTGACTATAATTCTCATAGTATGATCCGATATATAACATTATTATCCCATTAAAATAACATGTTATAAATGGAATGAAATAAGTCCTAGAACTAAGGTTATATAATGTTATATATCATTATAAACTAACATAACTATGGAAAATCACATTTTTTTAATGGGAAAACTCACTATTTTTATGGCCATTTTCAATAACTATGTTAGTTGGGCCATTATTTGTACCCCAGGCGCCCAGGGTCAAATCGGCGCAGGTGACATGTTGGTCTTTGGATACTTGGAGGACGGTCGCTTGTCGCGGGAGGCGGGGCGGCTTCACTGCGATGCTACAAGGTAAATCATGGTTCATATATACATGTAATATTATATATTTTATATATGTATGATATTATATGCATATTCATATATATATATAAGGTTATGATGTATATATAAATATATATATATGTATGATTATATATATATATGATTATATAGATATATATTATTTATATATTATGTATATATATATACATTATATATATATGATTATATATATATATGACTATATATATATATATGTATGAATATAAATATATATATATAGCGTGAATCATCCCAAAAAGGTCTAGTAGGACCTGCTTTCAGGTTGCATTGTATTATTATTGTAAGTATTATTATTATATTATTGTGACTATTATTACTATATAATTTAATATCATTACTTTTATATAGTATTATTAAAATTACTATTATTGTGACTATTATTGTTACAGTAGTTGTCCCCATTTACGGCCGTTGAGGAAATTAGGAGAGATGATGAACCGGTATGAGTTACATTCATTTATATCCAGTACATGTGGGGTCTATATCAACCTGATGTAAGACAAGTTATGGTCGTAAAACTCCTTTGTTTGTCACCAATAGACACATTGCATGTTTACATCTTATGATATAGCCTCCGGTAATTTCACATAGCTATGAACGATGGCTCATTGATATATGATGTACGTACTAAAGATCATCATGTTCTATGGCTTTATGGAATTACCCAGCTGATGATTCAGCCGCAGGTAGAACACAGCGCGTGTCCCGTGGTCGCGGGTCGCAAGTGGATTGCCACCCAGTGGTACCGGAGCCATGGCGAGAAGTTGCAACCGACACGACTTAGACCTTGAGATATTTGTTCGAGAGGAATGTGCATCCCAGGAATCGCAAGTGGCCAATAACAATGACATAGCTCAGACTTATCTATATATATATATATAAATATATAAGATATAGTATAGTATAGTATAGTATAGTATAGTATAGTATATAATAACAAACACAACAATAACATATAAGGTATAGTATATCCCAGTTAGACTAGTGGGTTATAACTAACTTGTCAAATCAGATGCAGCTGGGAGTATTACTGGGGATGACGTAGGTACTATGATAATATGCCATAACCCCTTTAGCTATGGTCATACTCAGTCATACAGTGGTTTTACATTCACTTATGAATTGGATCTGCACCCGCAAGTACTGGGCCTATATACTGTGGCCTTGGCTGGAAATGGGGTGTGCAATATTAGCGGAATGGGATTAGTAAGGGTTCTTTTTAAGGCTGGTGAAGGTCCATTAAAAGCTTGGCTCCAGCCATCAGCCTGGGCCAAGCTTTTGTTCGATTTTTATAGTCTTGGAAGGTCGATTCTTAAACGCCCATATGCTCCATGGTGCTGGTATATTTACCTACATTGTGAGGCCCCCAAGATAGCTAAGTTCGTTAATAACTCCAATTTTACTATGGTTTATGGTATTTATAACTATAGTTACTGGGGATTATAAACCAACTTATAACTGGGGGGCCTCACATTGTAGAAGTGATCACCTACAGCAAAAAATCACCGTCACACCTGATTTTTGCCAACAAATCGTCAGAATTTTGACCCGAACTTCGTTGCGAGAGAAAAAAACGCCACCGCGGCAGCCATGGGCGCGGCTGCAGCGGTCCCAAAACGTCCACCGCGATCCTCCCATTCCGCCGAATGTGAAGCGTGTAGCCTGGATGATTTGCATCAGATTGCAATGAAGTCGCCCAGCTGCAGCGAAAAATCATGGTGGATCCCCAAAATGAATGGCTTATAATGGAAAATCCGATTAACATGGATGATTTGGGGGTACCCCCATTTTAGGAAACCACCATATATCTACCACAAACCCAATCATAGATGTCCTTTTCCCATTGGTTGGTTGATGAAAAAAGAGGGCTTTGAAGAAAGCCCTTCAACAGCTTTGTTTGATGATAGATGGTATACCCAACCGGCCCGAACCTATTTTTACCAAAAGGACATTATTGATCATGGTGGAAACCCCCATCAGTTGGTGGACATAACCCCCATGAATACTATAGTATATCTACATATATCTACCATATATCTACCATATGTCAAATCATGGAAAATCTGGGGACGAAGCTGAGGGATTCATGATTTTTTTTATTGATTTGATGATTTGATAGAATCTAATAGAGGTCAGTGCAATGTTATAAAACTTCTTGGGGATTATAGAACCTATATAATAATAAATTTAGTACAAGAAAAAATCAAAAAAGGGTAGTTCCACAAGCGGGTCTGCCTACAATGGGATCCGCGGCTGGATCACGTGGCTTCAATGATGGAAGGGCGTGTTTGAAGGTTGGGTCCCCACGATGATGGATGTGTTGAATCATGGTTTACATTCATACAGGGTGGGGCCCCCAAGATAGCCAAGTTGGTTTATAAGGGGTTTAACAATGGTTTATGGTAGATATAACTATCATTAATGGGGGTTATAATGGTTTATAAACCAACTTACAACTGGGGGGCCCCATCCTGTATGGGAATTGGTCAAAACCTATTATGACCATATTTTAGGTAACTATTCGGGGGTACCTAGGGTGCCAGGGTTTTGACAGCAATATTGGTTGATCATCATTTTTTTGTTCCCCTTGGCCCAATGGCAATAACTTTTTTGCGGTGTCCGCAGGGCCTCAAACAGGTCACAACGTGGTGCCCAGCAGTTATGTTTGTTGGTTCATAACCCCATTAATCAAGAGTCCGGGTCTTTGTGGGAGTGCGTTTTTTTGTTAAGTTTCATGTATTGAATAATGTAGAACATGAGTCACTTCAAACATCCCGTTCTGTTAATTACTGGTTGGTGGTTTGGGACATTTTTCCATATATTGGGAATAATCATCCCAAGTGACTAATATTTTTCAGAAGGATTCAAGCCACCAACCAGATTGAGTAGTTTGATATAACTACCATAAGTCCAAGTGAATTGGAGTTAATAGAGTTAACTTGGCTATCGAACGGGGCACCACCTTGCAGAAAGTTCAAACCCATTATTCTGTTGCATCAGCACCTTTGTTGGGACGCAACATCGCAGCTGATTATTCACAAGTTGCGATTCTTTGAAAGAGTGTCCAACAGAGTAATCAAAACACGGCGATGACCAAGGAGAAGGGGTTGTTTGATCGGGAATATAGCAGGATGATTCATTACCCATATGCTCCATGGTGCTGGAATATTTATCAACAGTTGCCCTAAAAATCACTCAGTTTTGTAGGTAAATATACCATGCGTGGAGCATATGGGTTATATTAAGTGTGTTTTTTTGTCCCAACAAGTAGGACCAGTTCAACACAGCTGGTTTGAGATGTTGACCCATGTTGACTTGTATCCCTACAAGGTAACACTCCAATGATGTACGTTGGTTTATAAACTCTATTAACTAAAGATGTGACTATATGTGTATATATATAGTGTATTTTATTGTATTTTATTGTATATGTATCTACAGAGATCTACTAAAACTGTTGCTTTCTCTGCATGTTCCATGAATTTTAAAGTGGATAGCCTCATCAATTTATCCAGCAAATCTGGAGGCAACGCGTGCTGGCAAAGCCATCAGATGAGGAGACGAGTGTTTGCGCAAGGAATCAGCTGGTCAACCTGTGTGTAATGTGTGTGTATTCCATTTATAGCTGGTTGGTGGTTTGGAACATGAACTTTATTTTTCCATTCAGTTGGGAATGTCACAATCCCAACTGACGAACTCATATTTTTCAGAAGGGTAGGTCAACCACCAACCAGGTCTTTAAATCTATGAAATAACCCCCACATAGATCAAAGCAGTTCACCATTTTTAATTCATATGGTTTTACTGTGTTCTATTTTCTCCAGGGGTATACGTGCCATGGTCAAACATGGGCTTAGATCAAGCTATTAATTGGGGGATGGTCATTAATCCACGTTCCTAGGGATTTTGCATTAGGTTTGGATTCCGATTGATTATGGCTAGGTCAATCTTAGATGGATACTTTAATCCTTTAGTCTTTTGGTATCAATGGGAATATCTACTAACCAGCAAAGAATTTATTTGTTTGCCAGGTATCTCAGATTGGCAATGATGGGATGAATGACGATACCCCATATATCATCATATATCATCTCTTGGCAGTCGCTCATTACGAATGCAAGGTACTCTCTGGTAATTTAGCATAGCCATCAAAAAGTACCAATGAAAGTGATGATCTAAGATTACCCTCCAGTAAACTAACATACTTATCGAAAATCGCCATCTCTAGTAGGTAAATCATCTATTTTCATAGTTTTGTAAGAAATTGCCAGAGGCTAACCATGTCCATTTTACATGGCTGTCTTCGATGACCTTCAAGGTATCTAAGCCAAGACATGGATGTCACCGCCTTACAGAGGATCGTCCCAGGAACCATTGGGTTGCAACTCATGGACGACTTGGATTACTGTAGTTTTTCAACTAAGCATTCGGAAAAACAATTACAGTCTGGATTTCTGAAATATGTGGGAACTAATCACTTTGAAATTGGACTTGAACCTCGCTTGTTTAAGGAAGGTGTCCATCGAATTCTGGTAATCCAATCAGATTCTCCCATGCTCCGGTGCCTGCCGCAGGAAGTGTGGAAATATCCACGCACGTTGGCATATGATGCTGATGCATGGGAGGCAACCATGTTTTTTTTTGTTTTGAGGCGTACACTTTGATTGGCCATGATTTTGGAATATTTTGGAGAACTTATTAATGTACAAGCTTTGGATCATCCCCCTTAGTGGTTGAAGCCTGGTAAGTCAGTAAGTCCCCAAAGAGACAGTAGCTTAATATAACCCATATGCTCCATGTATGGTAGTAAATTTACCTAGAACACTGGGTGATTTTGGACAAGGGCAAATATTGGTGTGCATATTCCAGCACTATGTCACTATGCTTTGCATATGGGCAATCTATAAATGGATATATAACTGGTTGGTGGTTTGGAACATGATTTTGATGACTTCTCCAATAGTTGGGATGATGATCATGATGATCCAATCTGACGAAGTCCATCATTTTTCAGTGGGGTAGGTCAAGCACCAACCAGATATACAGATATATATATATATATGTATATATATATATATATATATAGTGAGATAATCAAACATGGCTAGCTGGGAAATCACTGAAATGTGGAAGTTGACTTCGGGAAAATCCAAAAAAGGGAAAAAGTAACTTGCTGGCACCACTGGCACACTTCCCCCCAAGGGATGATCATGATCCATGATCACAATGTGAGGGCCCCCGGCCAGTGATGTGAACGTTGGTGACTAGATAAAAGCCCCAGTAACTAGTTCTAGTAACTATAGTTATAAGTACCATAAACCATAGTTATTGGAGTTATATACCAACTAAAACCAAACTAGTTCGTTATTTGCGTTCCATGTTTACCAGTTTGTGAAATTGGTGTGATTAGTGCACCAACTGAACGCTATCTAACAGGGGCCTCACATTGTATGTGGTAAACCTTGACTCAACAGATCCGGCGTTTGTTTTGATCACGACCGAAGCCGGAAAATCTCCGGAAGCCTGGAAATCCATGGGTGATGAATAAGGGAAATCATCCCCTTTTATGGCCGAACTATTCCGGTTAGTGACATATTTACCCAGATGTATTGATTTCCATTAAACAATGTGTATTTTTTCAGGCCAGCGATTGAATGGTCAAAGGGATTAACATCGTCCATTCATCTCCTTTCGGATTGTCTGAACATAGGGCACCCCAAAGTCTCAGGGGTTACCCTCTGGTAATTTAACATAGCTATTGTGAAAATTCCCATTTATAAAATTATTTATAGTTGATTTACCGACCAAAACAATGTGATTTTCCACAGCTACGTAAACGTTTACCAGCGAGTATATCCCAGCAAATCCCATGAGAGATCCCATTCATTCCCATCAAGTCACCATAAACCCCATTAAGTCACCATACAACCCCATTAGATCCCCTGAAATCCCATGAAGATCCATCCTTTGTTGGACAACGGAAGTCGGTCTCCATGGCCTCCTGGGCCTCATGGGATCTAGGATGATCTAACCCTATGTGGCTGTTGGTATATATATATATATGGCAGTGTGTCAAAACCTTGTACCCCTGGTGAACATCAAAATAGCTGGTAAATGGATGTTCATCCCACTAAAAATGATATTAATAGGTATTGATCCATACCCATATGGGTAAATTATAAACCAACCATACTATGGGATAATGGTAGTATAACCCATAGGATCCATGTATGGTATATCGGTATATAGGCTAACATTTGGGGTATATTGATGGGATCCATGTTACCATATATAGAATACATGGATCCTATGGGTAATGGTAGTATAATTCACCCAGTCTACCCTACTTGGAGGATCTTCTCACGGAGAAAGTAAGGTTAAAAACCATACAATGTGAGCCCCCCCAATGATGTGAACGTTGGTTTAGATTCGCCCCAGTAACTAGTTCGTTATAAGTACCATAAACCATAGTTTTTGGAGTTATACACCAACTTAGCTATCTTGGAGGCCTCATTGTATATATATATATATATATATGGGTAAATTATAACCACCTCACTGCGACCGAAGCCTGGAATCATTATTAATAAGGGAAATCATCCCCAAATGGCCTTAAATCATGTTAGTGAAATATATTTAATTTACCCAGATACATGGTCCATATGGCTATTTAGATCCTGTATGTATAAAAACAATTGACATACTTATTTCTAGAAATATTCCATCTACAAAGTGTATTTAAATCTACATACTCCCCACATAGATAAACATAAGTCACCACGATTTTTTTGGGATTTGCCATGATCAAAGCATGGTGCCAGCGCCACCGTGCGTTAATCCCAGTGGTAGGATACGAAGAAATACGGTCGTCCCAGTAGGTGGGGAAGACAGCAGTAAGTGTCTTACATATATAAATCTATGGAAATTGATTTAATTAATGGGAATTTACCATCAAGTATAGAGGTTTTATGGATTCATGGAGTTTTTCTATACAACTATAGCTGTTGAAAATGGGATTTGCTGGGATATACTTGCTGGTAAACTAACATAGCTGTCCAAAATCACCATTTTTAGTGGGTAAATCATGGTAAATCAACTATTTCTACGGCCATTTTCAATAGCTATGTTAAATTACCAGAGGGTAAGTGGCTGGTTGGTGGTTTCAAACATGAAGTTTATTTTCCATCTCATATATGGGATGTCATCCTTCCCATTGATGAACTCCATCATTTTTCAAGATGGTTATTGCACCACCAACCAGAAATCTATGGGATATTATATAAATACCGTATATATTTGAGAACCACCAAACAATGGTGGTTTTGAGGGATGTCATTTGCAATCGATGCTTGAAAAAACCTGCAAAACCTCTGCAAGGGTTTGCTTAGGAAGTGTTTTTCCACAACCCCTCGAACACTTCGCATGTGTGTATATATATATAGAGAGAGAGAGTATCTTGAAGTTGTATTCGAAGTACAACTGACATAGCATCAACTCTAAAGAAGTTCTTGTGACGTAGCATCAAGAAAATTATAGGTTGTAGCGTGCAGAAGATATGGAAGTGCTATAGAGAAGTTCTTGTATGACGTAGCAAGAAGAACAGTATATGACGTAACAGCAAGTGGCTGTGCAAGTGCAAGGAAGTTATTGCCGCAACCCATCCAAGATCATCCAACCAACCCCACCCCAACATAAAGCAAGTAGAAAAGGCATAGATGGATATGGCTATGGATCAATACCTATAAGTACCATTTTTAGGGGGATGAACATCCATTTACCAGCTATTTTGACTTTCACCAGGGGTATAGGGTTTTGACACACTGAGATATAAACAATAACAAGGCAGCGGAGTAAAGTACTCGAATGCGCGGCCCCTTACAGGCGATGCCAAAAAAACATCCCGTGTATTTTCTCACGAGTATACGGTCATCAATCCACATTCATAGAATGTTACATATATATATATATACCCATAGGATCCATGTATGGTATATATGCTAACATAAAGGGGGTATATTGATGGTAAATGTTAGCATATATACCAGCACCATGGATCCCTTGGATATACAATACCAATGTGTTTGGATTCCCATCGTGAGAGCGATGACTATGCTCATTCATCCTATGTTTTTTGACCATGGCATATATAACTAGTTAGCATAGTTTGTCAAAATTGACATTTGGTAATCGATCTAAAGGTCCTGGTAAAGAATTTAAATTGCGAAGACCATTCATGTTATGTTGGGAACCCTTGCGAAAGTTTTTTATTTCGAGTTTGCGAAAGTGACATTTTTATTTGCGAAAGTCTCGCGAAAGTTGTATATTATAATCATTATTGTATATAGCTAGTAAAGGGCTGCCACCCCCTCCCGCCGCGGGTCCGACAGGAGAAGGGTACCGGGGAATTTCGCTTTGGTTCTGGTCCAGTTCCCTGTGTGGTGCTTTTGGACAATCACCTTGCCCTTCATAGGTAGCAGCCGAGCTTCCAAAGGTGAGGCTTCGCGACAGCCAAACACCATGGTCCTGAAGCACATCCTTATATCAGCCGCTGTCACCTGCCACATATATATATATATGGAATATAAAGTATAACATAGTATGACTATGTATGACTCTTACTTAGGGAATATATAACTATAATATGGAAATTTTCACTACAGTCAACAGTTATAATCCATGTCTTCGTGGAGGGAACTATACAAACTAGAACTATGGGGATAGTTCTATAGGTTTCATATTTCTGTGTTTAAATCACTAGGACTAGAACCATGATTAACTATACTAACCACAATATAGGCAATATAGGATAGTTACTTGTAGTGTTAACTATAATAATATCCCTATATACTGCACTCATCTATACTAGCTATATCTACGCTAACCGATTTGGACCTTCCCCCAAAAAACGGCAGGCTCGCTTTGGCAGTCGTCAAGTTTCCACCGAGAGTGGAGGGCCAGCTGCAAGGAGCGAAGCGGGAAGTCCCCTGGGTACACCCCTGAGGTGGAGTTTGTCTCAACAATATGGAGAACAGGAGATCACAATATACCCATATGCTCCATGTATGGTATCTTTACCTACAAAACTGGATGATTTTTAGGGTAAATGTTGGTAAATATTCCAGCGCCATGGAGCATTTGGGATATGTTTCCATATTTTCCCAGTTTATTTTTGTAATGTATTCCCATAGTTATACTCCACAAGATGGTTGAAGCAAGAGCTGTCAAGAAAACACTGAAAATTTCCTCTCCTAGACAACTATACAATGTGAGGCCCCCCAGTTATAAGTTGGTTTATAAGCCCCAGTAACTATAGTTCTAAGTACCATAAACCATAGTTATTGGAGTTATAAACCAACTTAGCTATCGAACGGGGGCCTCACATTGTAGACAACTATAAAGACTATAAACTACCAAGTTTTCGTGTTAGGCGTGCAGGGTATCCCAGATTCGCCATGATGTGATGATATTTGCTTGGACAATGTGCATTCCCAGGTCTATCTTTGTGGGTTTATAATCCATGAATATAACCCATAGAATCCTACATATAAGTGTTCCATATATCACGGATGCAAAAAAAACCAATGACTAAGGCCCGCACCTGCAAGTAGACCCAAAAGATTTGAATCTAAGGGGTTGGTTTTCTAACAAAAGACCGAAACTGGTGTTGCAAATGATTCGCCGTCCCCTTCCCTCCAATTTTATTGATGTTTAATGGTTAAATCCTGTGAACTTTGTAAATGTTCAAGTCTGGATTGGGTTTCCACGTTTGCTTCGTTGTTTTTCGGTCCCCAGGACCAATGATACAGCTCTGATGCCGAACGAGCTCTCTAGTGTTTCCCATGAGTCGACTTGCAAGAACTGAAAACTACCTGCAAGGTGGGCCCCAAAACGGTAAGTTACAATTGGCATTGAACTGGCAAAAACCTGGTTGGTGGTTTGGAACATTTTTTCCATATATTGGGAATAATCATCCCAACTGACTTTCATATTTTTCAGAGGGGTAGGTCAACCACCAACCAGTGATTTATAGTAGATAGTTGATTCATAGTTGATTTATGTTAAGTTGGATTATTTCATTTACCCTCTGGTTATTTAACAGTTCGCCATGAAAAATCACCATTTTTAAGTTCGATAAACCATCTATTTCTATGGGCCATCTATACTATATACCATGGCTATGTAACAAATTACCAGAGGGTACTAGGCCCTGCCTTTTTGGGATTTATGGTATAACTACGTAGTTCAACTGGCCCCAGCATGGATGAAACCATGGCCCTGTATGACTCTGATTCGTTGATGATAAACCAAAACTACTGTTGTTTACAGTTACCCGGCCTGGTAAACATACAAAAAAACTATTGAAGATGGCCATTTATATTTGATTTACCAATTAAAAATGGTGATTTTCCATAGTTATGTTAGGTATGGCCCAACTCACAGTTACAAATGGAATTACATAACTCCTATAACTAAGGTTATATATATATATCATTATAATCCCACTTATAACTGTTAGTTGGGCCATAACTGTAGGATTCGGGGAATCATCGCCAAATAGCCGAACTTTTCAGGTTAGTGAAATATGATCATTTACCCAGATGATATAACCCCATGAACTAATATTAACTGTATATTATCTATTAACTATATTAATTAACTATGATATTAATTAACTATATAACCCCAGATGATATTTATTAACTATACTTATCTATAGTTATATCTACTGTACCATAAACCATATTATTCATCCATTTCTAAGGCAACTGAACGCTATTTACCCAGATATTTCATAGTAACAGTATACGGATGATGACCGCTTCAGAAGGTCGTTTTTTGGTGAAATCACAAACTCAGAGCGAAAAAAGGAGATCTCAGGAGCAAACGCAAAGTGGCAACACTGTTTGATGCGGTAAAGCGAATGCCACAATCCCTTGTTTTTAGTAATTACTGTATCTGGGTAAACTATGAACATGGCCAAGATGATAAGCATCAATTGACTGAATCCTGACACCGAAGCAAATCATCAGGACCAGTGAACAGAACCTCCCCAAACTGAATACCATTTCACTGGGTAAATTATAACCACCTCACTGCGACCGAACCCTGGAATCATGGTTTATTTTAGGGAAATTATCCCCAAATGGCCGAACTATTCAGGTTAGTGAAGTATTATAATTTACCCAGCTGTATATAATTTTTAGTACCCCCAGATGATAAGTTATTGGAAAAATTGAGTGGGGTAGTAGGGGATTGGGTGTTTCTCTTCTGTACTGAAACCAGAAATTATTTGGCCCTAATCGTATAGTGTTGATTATTACAATGTGAGGCCCCCGTTCGACAGCTAAGTTGGTTTATAACTCCAATAACTATGGTTTATGGTACTTATAACTATACTTACTGGGGCTTATAAACCAACTTATACTGTAACTGGGGGGCCTCACGTTGTAGCTTTTGCCACATTGGGGTCTTCACATGTTTTCACAATGATTCTTGTAGTAGGATGGAAAATGCTGAAGGTGTGTCAACAACGCTCATGGCTAGTTGTGGGTCTGGATCGAAACGGGTGTTCATTTTGGCATATGTCTCTCAGGCCGAATTGCCTTCGAAAATCGGTCCAGTTCAGCGTAGCAAGTGGATAGCTTCAATGTCAACAGAGAAGAATAGATAACCGGTGCGGTTGGATTACGAGGCTTTGTCAATGATGCGCTGTGCAAATTCTCTGAATGGTAGCCAGAGGTGTTTCAGTTTCTGCAGATTTTGCATCGTGCAGATGCGCGCGCATCCGCTATTCAAATATCAGGGAGACTCTGCTGCAGCGATGAATGGTCAGAATCTTGTAGCTGTGCAGCCGTTTCCGCTCGATTTTTTGAAGGATGCTCTCCCACAGACGGCGTCTGAAGCTCTCTCTGCAAATCTCTAAAAATCTTTAATGGCACAGCGGTGTCAAACAAGTCTTACTCAGAAGATCCAGGCACAACTTTGAAACCTCATAAAAAATGATATTTGTGTAGAAACTATTACACGACCAGAAAACGGGCAAACTGGATGGGGAAGTTTCAGAAGGTAAGGACCGACACTCCAAAAGAAAAAAATGTACCTAGCGTTGAGAAGGCTTTCTTTTGACATTACATGAGCCATCGCAAAAAAAAACTGCAATACTAAATATTTATTGGACGGACATTGGTTTATGGAAATTGATGGAAATTGTTAAAAACACATGGTAAGCGATGGGACCTTCCCAAATTAGCGATACCCCTTTTCAAGGTTATGTCATTGTATTTCTCTAATATCCACATTAGCGATACCCAAATTGGACGTTGATGTCTGTGAATTATATATATTATAAATATAGCAGTTTCCTGCAAGCGATACCCCCCAAGTTTACCATATATCATTATTATACAAACGTGTGGTAAGCGATGGGACCTTCCCAAATTTGTGGATGTCCTTTCCGTGAACCAAATGAGTTTTCAAGATTGCTTCACTGGCCATTTCATGAACCGATTTATTGGAGGTACCGATTCCATATATAAGGCATAATGTAAGGGCTATGTAAGGGGATATACCCCCAAAATATGGTCTTATATGGTACAGTACCTCCATTTTTGGATCCTGGAATTCCCATTGATTGCTCACATATTTGTTTCTTGTCACCTCTTTCTCTGGTCACTTCTGGTTCTTGCCACTTGTTTTTCTTCATTTCTTGGAGGTATCACCGTGAAACTCCATCGACCGCATTGTTTGACACGGCACCGCCACATGCTGCTGTGTTTGAAGATACCGACAGTAGCCAATTCGATGCCAAATTCGAGGAATGAGCAGTTCTCTGTGGCCAAAACGCTGGTTAAGCAGAGATATGCAGAGATATGCAGAGATATGCAGAGATATCAGGGGCTCAACTGGCCCAACTTGGATCTGATTTGATGCTCATGAGTGGAATTCATTCTCGTGTTTTGAAATGAACCATGAAACCTACCCCTGCTGAATGGTTGATTGGGGTGGTTATCAACCTACCTGGTTTGTTAGGGATTCTTATAATTCACTATCGGCATACTAACCAAAACTTCATGGGATGGGAACCGGAACACATGGTATTTTTCCATGTCTTCACTTCTTGGTCGTGGTCCATTCTTTGTGATGATCGTGATGGTCCCAATGACTCACATTTTCTGGCTCAACCGCTGACCAGAATCAGTTTCTACACCTAAGTACTCCAGCCAACTTACAGACATATGGCAAAATGATGTTCTCTGTCAGGAAAAAAATATGTGTTCTTGACATGGCAATGTTCCGCACGTATTTAATTAAACGTGTATATACATACATTGACAAAATATATTAATATTATAATATATATATATATATGTAAACACATAAAAACGTGCATGTGATTACATTACATTTGTACATAAATACCTGGTTGGTGGTTTGGAACATGTTTTTCCATATATATGGAATAATAATCCCAACAGACTGATATTTCAGAGGGGTTGAAACCACCAACCAGATACATATTTATGTACATACACATGCATTTAGAGATACATCTATGTACATCAATATGTACATATGTAGGTGTATGTATGTATATATACACATACATGTGTGTATATATATATATACATAGAAACATAGATGTGGACGTTTGTACGTGTTTACATGCTTATGAATATATTTACATACATGTGGATGTTGATACATGTGTAATGTGTACATGCGTAAATTTGTGCATATATATGTACACATACATACTCATATTAGTTTTCATTATTCGATCAACACAGTTAGATAGTTTTCTATTTGCCTTGTTGCATATTCACATAGTTTAACAGTTGTGTATATGTACTTCACTGCATGGGAGTTTACATATGTAGACTAGATATGCTACATTTTTTGACATCTATATTTGTTTATATTTGATATATGTTTCCATAGATGTATACAGAAATAGTGTTATACATGCCTTGCATGTTGATATATACGTTCACATGTTCATATATGTATGTAAACATACGTCAATACGTACATTCGTTCATTCATACATGTATATACATATACTATCATATACTATATACATATAAACATAGGCACATGCACAAACACACACATGCAGAGACATGCATGCATGGTTGCATACTTACTTACATACCTACCCCCAAATCATATAAGATACATTCTAGTTTTCTGGATGGTAGATATTGCGCTAATCCATTTTTCGGAAACTGGAGTTTCTGCCTTCTTGCCGATGAGAAAAGACTGTCAACCAGAGCTTTGGTCGTTGGGGAAACAGCTTGCATGGCCCTCCAGAGGCAATTGGCGCCAACCTTTTATGGCGGACATGTCTATGGATGGGAAGATCATTTTAGTGGACGGGCTTCTGATGCTGGCGATGCTTTCTGAATTTTGGTTTCTGAATTGCTTGGTATATCTCTCACTAATCCCACTGGTCAGAAATCAATAGCTCCAAATAGCCCCTTGCATCACAACATATCCCGTATTTTTCCATTGCTTGCTTAGGTATTAGGGTCAACACTCCTAAAATTCGATGGCCAATGGTCAAATGAACAGTTGGCCTGCGGCCTTAAATCTGGATCCATTTGGTGCGTAACATACACCACCGCTGCGTGAATTTGGGGATGCTGTAGGAAAAGGACGGGGAAAAAAATGGGGTTCGGCATGATCTAGGTTTGGGCCGAGTTGTGTTTCTTTGGAGGGAAATGATGATCAACTGTAGTAATTAATTAATGACCCTCTGGAAAATAAACAGTCCGACCCTGAAAATCACCAATTTTTAATGGAAACGAGTCTTCCAACCCCAACAACTGCCAGGGTGTTAATTTACCAGAGGGTATATTCAGG